CTTCAAAACTAGTCAAACACCGTGAAAACCAATCAAAAAATACCTCAATACATATAATTTAACAATTTATAATGATTTCCAACTCCGCTCAAAAAGCCAACAAGGACAACCCTCGGGGCCACGTGCTCGGATTTCGAAAATATTTGAAGATAAACTATACCCATAATACCACGAACTAAAATATATAACTTATTCTGAATTCCATGTCCAATTTCATGGTTAAAATCCAAAAATGTCAAATTCTAGGTTTTCTACCAAAATTCCAAATTTCTACTAATTTTCATGTTTAAATCCGTATACAAATCATGTATTTAACTTGTAATAGGTGGGAGTCACTTACCTTGTATTGCTTGATGAACATCTCTCCTTGAAGCTCTCCAAAATCGCCCCAACTAAGTGAAAATGGAAAAAAATGGGGCAAATCATGTTTCTATAAAAACACCTCTGCCCAGACGACTTTCTGCTTTTGCGATCATCTTCGCCGCTTCTGTGGCGTAATCCACGCTTCTGCGAAGTGGTGCCCAACAGCCCTGCCCGCATCTGCGCTCCAGGCACCGCATCTGCGCTCACACAAGTACGGGAATTGCTTGCACCTGCGGCCTTTACCCTGGTCACCTCCAGCCGCTTCTGCGACCCACTTCATCGCTTCTGCGACGCCTCACCTCGCAGGTGCGGTTCCGCTTCTGCGGACACTCGACCGCATCTGCGATCTCAGCCTTCCCCCAGCAAAATCAACATTTGCGCTAGCCTAGCCGCTCATGCGGAGTCGCATCTGCGGCCCCCTGTTTTACGCATGTGCGATTGCACCAGCAATTGGCCAAAACCAGCGTTCCTCAACTTCAAATCTCGATCCGATTACAATCCGAAACTCACCTGAGGCCTCCGGGACCCCGTCCAATTATACCAACCAGTCCCAATACATGACACGAATCTGTTTGAGGCCTCAAATCACATCAAACAATATCAAAACTACGAATCGACGACCAAAATCCTTCTTAAAACTTTTCAAACTTCTAAACTCCAACGAACGCGCTCAAACCGTACCAAAACATTCCGGAATAACGCCAAACTTTGCGTACAAGCCATGAATCACAATACAAATCCATTCCAAGACTCGAAATCCCAGACAGACATCGATAACACTAAAGCCTACTTCAAACCAAACTTAAAAAATTCTAAAACCTTCCAAATGCCAACTTTTCACAATAAGCTTCGAAATGGTCCCGGGTGACCCGATACTCAATCCGAACATACGCCCAACTCCAAAATCATCATGCGAACCTATTAGAATCTTCAAATCCCAATCCCGAGGTCGTTTACTCAAAAGTTAGATCTTAGCCAATTCTTCCAACTTAAAACTTCCGAAATTAGATTTTTTTGCAAATAAATCCCGAACTTCTCCAAAATTCAATTCCGACCATATGTACAAGTTATAATGCCTGAAGTGAAGCTACTCAAGGCCTCAAACTGCCGAACGACATACTAGAGCTCAAAATGACCGGTCGGGTCGTTACATTACACATATAAAAGTAAATAACGAAAATTTAAAATAAAATTAAAACTCAATATTCTATATTGAAAATAAAGGAGAACATAAATTTACGCTTGAAATAATGACATATGCATTAAGCTATATGTTTAAGATTTATGTATTTTTTTGTTATGTGTAATAATAATAATAATAGTTTATATTTTTCTATCTATTTATTTTGTTAAACAAATCAAACAAAAACTTATCCAAGCTTTTGAATTGAAAAAGAAAACTCCAAAGATGAAAAAATACCTTGAGATTTTGGTAAAGTATAAAGTATGAGCATATGCACTTCTATTTTTTTATTTTATTATTATTAAATTAAATACTAGATGAAATAATTATATCAAATTTTATAGTAAGGGAAATAATATTTAAAGAGGGGGTGGATATAATGTGAGAAAATTTATACTTTGAGTAATGTTAAAAATAAAATAAAGACAATAAATAAATAATACTCAAAATATTATTGATAAGTTATAACATTAATCTGAGCTATAGAATAAAAGAATACAAGAATAAAAGTAGATGAAAATTTTCATTACAAGAAAAAAGAAAAATCAAAGTCATTGTTATAATTAGAGTAGCGGAAGATATCAACAATTCTAAATTATGGATAACTTAATAACATGGACAAGAAACCAAAAAAGGGAAAAAGAAATATGTAAATACAAAATTTTAATGTTAAGATATATAAAAGAATAAGACTTATTTGATCTTTGAGATGAGAAAGTTTTTTGAAATAATTCATATGGTCATGCTATATAGATAAGATTGCGTAACTGAAAATATTATAATAGATAAAACTAAAACAAAACATATAGACAATTGGCATAATTCTAAGAAACAAATAAGAATATAAGGAAATAATTTAAATTTTTATGTAATACTTTTAATAATAAATTAAAAGTCAACTTTCATATTAGCTACAAAAAGGAAGGAGAATTTACTTTAATTTCTTATTGCAAGTGGTACTAAAATAATAATAATTATATTTATTAGTAGATTTATGACATATAAGAAACAAATTTTCTTATTTAAACTTTGAGCTAATTCAACACCACGCATTTAGAAAAATAATATAACAATATTCACATTATAGATAAACGCTAAATACAAAAAAGTTAAAATATTATAGAACAAAAGCTAATGTATAAAGAGAAAAATAGAGATAATATGACTTCATCCATACTTTAAATTTATTTGACAAAATTAAGTAAATAAATAATACCAAAAAATATTATTGATAAATTTGAACAACGAGAGAATTTGAGAAGTAGTCAATACAAGATAAAGTCAAGTTAAGTTTTATGAGTACTACAAGACTATATCCATTTTATTATAATAAAGTGGTAAGTTAATAAAAACTTCATGTCATAATTTGATAATACTAAATAACAGACAATACAATTAGAATAGGTAAGGAACAAAAAAAATATAAATTTTAGAAAACATATAGAATATAAGACTTATAAGTAGAACTATGATGAGAAATTTCTTACATATACTCATAATTGAATTATAATAAACAAAGAGTCATAAAGGAAAAATATTGAAAGAAGAAAGAATTCCAAGCGATAGCGTAAAATGTATATATTAATTAAAATTTTAATATAAAAAGTTTTAGTTATTAAATAGAAGAATAGAACTCATAATTCCATATTGAAAAATAATAAAAAATAAAAAAATATTAGAATATTTATACATAAGATAAGAATATTATATACATAACACAAAATAACAATTATTAAAAATATTAGTATATTTTTAAAAAAAATTAAAGGGCTTATCTTTTTATATTTTTGATAAATTCAAAATTATAATTTAACAAAAAAAGAGATATATTACGTAATTTTAATTACAAGTAGAATGCAAAATGAGAAAACTAATTAAATATTACATAGAAAAGAATGTATAAAAATAGAGGGATAAAGCTAACATTAGAATATTTATAATTTAAATTAACTAATAAAAATAAGAGGTAAGTAAATAACACTCAAAAAATATATTGATAAATTTAGATAATTATATAATTTTAAACAGTAAAAATAATAAAAATATTTTCAGAGTAAGATTTTTTTTNCGCCGAAGACTTTGCGATAGTATCCCAAACATAGGCTAGATAAGCCAAACAACCCTTCTTGACAATGTGTCGAGCCTTCATGAAAGATATAAAGTCGTTTTTTTTTTTTTTTTTTTTTTTTTTTTTTTTTTTTTTTTTTTTTTTGTGGCAACAACCTGTCTGACCTTCTTCTAATTTTCTATCTAACCCACTCCAACCAATATCCAAGAAAAAAAATAAAATTATGAAGTAAATAAAATAAAAAAGAAGTTGGACCGAAATTAACTTTTATGAAACTTTTGGTTACCTTGTTGTAATTTCAAAGAATCTTTCATCTTCAACAGGACTACAGGAGAATCCATCTCTCTCAAACTTGCAATTTAAAGACTAGTCCTAAAATTCTCTGTAACCTCCCCAATCAGTCCCCAATCATTTTCCAAATTCACCATCATCATTTTTTGCTCTCAAAATCCCAATTTCCCTATTTGAATTTGTCTTAGTGTAAAGCAGTTTGCTTCTTGGAAACTGCTAGAAGTTCTAACACCAAACTCAAAAAAAGAAGCAAACAGTGAAACCCCAAAAGACCATTTTTGGTACTTCACAATTAGAGGACCTATGGTTAGTTAAACTCCACTTCAAGCTTAGATCTTGTAAGTTATCTAGTCTATCTCTAAATTCTCATTTGGGTCTTTAGGAATTTTTGTGGAATTGCAAATTAAATGTGAAAAAGATAAGTTCTTTATAGTTATAGCACTGTTGTAAGCTATTCTGTTACTTTGGGTTTTTAGATTTTTGGTCAATTTTTGTATTCTCTATTTGGGTCTCTGAATGATTTGTGGAATTTGATATTAAAAGTGAAAAAAGATCAGTTCTTTGTTGCTACAACAGGGCTACTGGCTTTTTAAAAGATTCTATCCATGTTATTTAGTGTTCTGTTACTTTGGTTTTTAGTTATGGAGTATTTTAAGTTATTTGGTCAATATCTGTACTCTCTATTAGGGTCTCTAGCAAATTTGTGAAATTTCACATTAAAAGTAAAAAAGATTAGTTCCTTGTTGCTATAACAGGGTTACTGATTTTCTTTAAATTTTATCCCTTTTTTTAACTGCTTTGCTACTTCTGTTTTCAGTATGGAGCATTGTAATTTAGGGGTTTCATTTCTTTTCTCTTTTGAGATAAATCCTGTTTTCTCTTTCGGTTGATGTTGAATTGCAAACATTAAAAAAAAAAATGCCGCTTTAATAATGTTACTTTGAAGATACTACTATAATCTATTGAATAAATGAGGGCATTACCGCTTAATGTTTGCTAGATTATAGTGAAGGTGGGTTCTGTTATGAATTCTGAGGATGTGTCTGTTTCTGAATTTGATGTGTATACTTTTTCGTTTGTTGGGGTTGTTGGCAGGTGGTGTGAGAGTAGCTCGTTATGATGTCGAGACCAATACTGCTTGTTTTTCTGTTGATTGTACTCATAATCACATCTCAATTGGAATGGAAGCAGCAGTTGGTGAGTGATGTCGAACCGAGTCCTAGTATATCTCAGAAGCAGCAACAGATTTCAAATAGAGAAGAAGCTGTTAAAGAGAAGGTAATCATGTGATCATGTTTTTGTTGCATATTGTGTGATTCTCTTGAATAAATTATGTACGTTCTTATTGCTTATGGGTAGTTGGGAGCTTGGAAGATGGGTATTTACATAAGTCATTGTATCTTACTGATGAATATTTGCATCATTAAATGCGCAACTGATATTTCACTGACAAATTCCAAGTGAAAAATGGACATAATATGCATTGGATAACTTAATTAGACTACCTAGTTACAAAATTGGAAATATCATAGTTTCATGTTACTGCACTTGTTGACCTCTTCCATCTTTTTTTTTTTAATAAAACTTTCTTTCAACTGTTTCTTATCTTGGTCGATTTTAAAGTCCGTTACATTTTGATACTTTATTTCAAGATTCTGCATTAATTAGGAGTAAAAGATTTAAAGGGATTCTGTAGTTTTCAGAGGTTTTGAACTTGGTGGTGAAAAAATCATAGCAACAATAGGAGATATGGAGTGTACAAGGGCTAGAGTTATCAACGGATCATTTGGTTTGTGTAAGATGAAATTACTGGATTATGTTTTTCATACCATCACTTCTTGTTGTCAAACCAGCTACTTTCGTATTATTCTTTCCTTCGGCTGGGCATACTATAGTCTTCCCCATGAATCCTTCTTATCCTAAGAATGGAAAGAACCAAGTTAATCTAACTGTGAGTGAGGAATAAAAACCAACATTCAACTCCCTCTTATCAATTTGCAATGCTTCAAGCACCTTAAATGCCTTAATATCTTGGGAAGATTCAACCCAAACACATAGTCGCTTTGTTTTGACCGTTTTGTTGCACTGCATAGCTTGCTTTGCACTTTAAAGCTTTTTTGTTATCTCACTTTGAAGTTTGAATGAAGTATGCCTCAGTTTTTGCGGTTATGTCATTGCATGGAGCTTGTATAGAAAATACTTTTTAACCGCGTAATATATATATTTTGAAGGCCAAGTATCTGTAAACTGCTCATTACTCATAGAGTTAGCTCCATGAAGTACCAAATCCGTCATGTTCGCTTTAAGTAGTCCATTTAACTTTGATCTTGATTAAAGAAGCATTAGTTTCTAATCTTATGAAGCTTTAGCCAAGGTTGCAACGAATCAATAAATAAATTCACAAGTATACTGACATTACAAACTTTTATGGTCTTGAAAGTGTATAATTAAAGGAAACATGAGAGTAAGGACAAAAACTAGGAAAGAACTTGCAACTACAATAGGGCTGGCGCGTGATTCCTTTTATAGCATGTATTGCATCAATTGTTTGTAGGCAAAAGGTGAATGCCTAATCCTGTGAAGCATGAGGCAAATTATGTGCAAGGCACAATGGATGCCCTGGGGCCCGCTTCAGCTTTACCTTTAGACCAACTGACATAGAGCAATGACCATCTACAATAAATCTCATGGACAAACTATCCATTGTATTATTTACCAATCAAAAACTATTTGTTGTATTGTCTTCCCAAGTCGGACGGTTTAAAGAAACTCATCTTTTAACAACTTTTGAATCCTAGACAATTCTTGTTTTAAAGTTATTATTAAAATGGTTTCCAACCAACTTGCATGCACCTTGGCTATTCTGTCGAGTACCTGCTGCCTCCCACCAGTACAAGAGGTACCGTAGAACTCTACCCCCAAAGTTTAGGTAGATGGGAAGAAGTCACTTAGTGTTTTTTGTCGGTGCTGGAATTTGAATCTTGGTCCCATGATTTTCACTCACTTCATGACATCGATTTCCCGTAAATTCTATAATGATATCCTTTATTTTCTTTATTGTTATTTTCTATAAAACAGCAACCGCTGAGTATTTAACATGAAATATGCACGATATATTTACCATTTTCAACGTATTATACCCATCTTTATTAGCCATAATCTCATATATCCTGGAGTTCATCTTATTTCAAACTGGGAGTTGCCTTCTAGAACTTGTGTCCCAGCAAAAAATATATAGGATCTAGGAAATCAAATTTTTTTGCTTCTGAAGGAGAGACAACTGCTGAATTGATAATAAGGGCTCTATATCCGCAATCCCCCAAAAGTTCACATCATCCCTAAGCCCCACTAATTAATCAAATGGCTCATACACTACAGTGTTAGTCAGACAGAAAAAAAATACCGATTAATTAAAAAGTCAAACAAAATAAAATCCACTTTACCCTTTTTACTAACTTCAAGGTGGCCATCATTTGCTTATATCTCAGAAATTTACCGACAAACTTTCAGAAGTTGAACGGGTAACAAAAGAAATAAATAAAATGGAATAGACAAAAAGTTAAGCCTTCTATATGTGCACCCAAGAGTGTGACCTAGTGGTCAATAAAGCGGGTTGAGAACCATGAGGTTTCAAGTTCAAATTTAAGCGGAGACATAAGCACTGTGTGATTTCTTCCCATTTGTCCAAGCTTTGATGGATAGAATTACCCGGTACCTGTGCTGGTGGGAGAGAGCAGGTACTCCGTGAAATAGCCGAGGTGCCAGCAGGCTGGCTCGAATACCACAATTATTAAAGAAAACCTAAAATAAATAAAGCCTTCTGGATATAGACTTAGGGGATAATGTTTTTCATCCAAGCAAAGAAATATGAAATATATTTATATAAATCTATTGTTAATGGAGGTTTGTCTTTTTTCCTCACTGCTAAACTAACTATTAGGTATGTATCAAAGTATCCTCTCATTATTATGAGGTCCCACCATCACTATGTGACATGATAAAATCAACAAAGGTAGTAACAAATTAGTCTGTGCTCTTACTTTCCCCTCCCC